GTAAACAAACAGACACAAAGGTACAGACGGCCTCCATACACTCCTATAGACTACCTCCATATTCTCTTTATAGTCTGTCTCCATACCCTTCTATAGACTGCCTCCATGCTCTCCTATAGACTGCCTACATTCCTATAGAATGCCTCCTACAGATGGCCTCCCTCCATACCCTCTTTATAGATTGTCTCCATACCCTCTTTATAGACTGTCTCAATACTCTCCTATAGGCTGCCTCCATACCCTCTTATAGACTGCCTCTATACCTTCCTATAGATTGCCTCCTATAGACTGCCTACATACCCTCCTATAGACTGTGTTTATAGCCTCCTACAGACTGCCTCCATACCCTCATATAGACTGCCTCCATACCCTCCTATAGACTGCCTCCTACAGATGGCCTCCATACCCTCCTGTAGACTATCTTCATAGCCTCCTATAGACTGCCTACATTCCCTCCTACAGACTGCCTCCATACCTTCTATAGACTACCTCCATACCCTCTTTATAGACTGTCTCCATACCCTCCTATAGACTGTCTTCATAGCCTCCTATAGATTGCCTACATTCGCTCCTACAGACAGCCTCCATACCCTCTCTATAGACTGCCTAAATACCCTCCTATAGACTGTCTTCATAGCCTCCTATAGATTCCCTACATTCCCTCCTACAGACGGCCTCCATACCCTCCTGTAGACTACCTCCATACCTGCTTTATAGACTGTCTCCATACCCTCCCATAGACTGCCTCCATACCCTCCTATAGACTTTCTTCATAGCCTCCAGACAGCCTCCATTCCCTCCTATAGACTACCTCCATACCCTCTTTATAGATTGTCTCCATACCCTCTTTATAGACTGTCTCAATACTCTCCTATAGGCTGCCTCCATACCCTCTTATAGACTGCCTCTATACCTTCCTATAGATTGCCTCCTATAGACTGCCTACATACCCTCCTATAGACTGTGTTTATAGCCTCCTACAGACTGCCTCCATACCCTCATATAGACTGCCTCCATACCCTCCTATAGACTGCCTCCTACAGATGGCCTCCATACCCTCCTGTAGACTATCTTCATAGCCTCCTATAGACTGCCTACATTCCCTCCTACAGACTGCCTCCATACCTTCTATAGACTACCTCCATACCCTCTTTATAGACTGTCTCCATACCCTCCTATAGACTGCCTCCATACCCTCCTATAGACTGTCTCCATACCCTCCTATAGACTGTCTTCATAGCCTCCTATAGATTGCCTACATTCGCTCCTACAGACTACCTCCATACCCTCCTATAGACTGCCTAAATACCCTCCTATAGACTGTCTTCATAGCCTCCTATAGATTCCCTACATTCTCTCCTACAGACGGCCTCCATACCCTCCTGTAGACTACCTCCATACCTGCTTTATAGACTGTCTCCATACCCTCCCATAGACTGCCTCCATACCCTCCTATAGACTTTCTTCATAGCCTCCAGACAGCCTCCATTCCCTCCTATAGACTACCTCCATACCCTCTTTATAGATTGTCTCCATACCCTTCTATAGACTGTCTCCATACCCTCCTATAGACTGCCTCCATACCCTCTTTATAGACTGTCTCAATACTCTCCTATAGGCTGCCTCCATACCCTCTTATAGACTGCCTCTATACCTTCCTATAGATTGCCTCCTATAGACTGCCTACATACCCTCCTATAGACTGTGTTTATAGCCTCCTACAGACTGCCTCCATACCCTCATATAGACTGCCTCCATACCCTCCTATAGACTGCCTCCTACAGATGGCCTCCATACCCTCCTGTAGACTATCTTCATAGCCTCCTATAGACTGCCTACATTCCCTCCAACAGACTGCCTCCATACCCTCTTTATAGACTGTCTCCATACCCTCCTATAGACTGTCTCCATACCCTCCTATAGACTGTCTTCATAGCCTCCTATAGATTGCCTACATTCTCTCCTACAGACAGCCTCCATACCCTCTCTATAGACTGCCTAAAAACCCTCCTATAGACTGTCTTCATAGCCTCCTATAGATTCCCTAAATTCTCTCCTACAGACGGCCTCCATACCCTCCTGTAGACTACCTCCATACCTGCTTTATAGACTGTCTCCATACCCTTCCATAGACTGCCTCCATACCCTCTTATAGACTTTCTTCATAGCCTCCAGACAGCCTCCATTCCCTCCTATAGATTACCTCCATACCCTCTTTATAGACTGCCTCCATACCCTCCTATAGACTGCCTCCATACCCTCCTATAGATTGTCTTCATAGCCTCCTATAGATTGCCTCCATTCTCTCCTTCAGACGGCCTCCATACCCTCTTTATAGACTGTCTCCATACCCTCCCATAGACTGCCTCCATACCCTCTTATAGACTTTCTTCATAGCCTCCAGACAGCCTCCATTCCCTCCTATAGATTACCTCCATACCCTCTTTATAGACTGCCTCCATACCCTCCTATAGACTGCCTCCATACCCTCCTATAGATTGTCTTCATAGCCTCCTATAGATTGCCTCCATTCTCTCCTTCAGACGGCCTCCATACCCTCTTTTTAGACTGCCTCCATAACCTCCTATAGACTGCCTCCATACCCTCCTATAGACTACCTCCATACCCTCTTTATAGATTGTCTCCATACCCTCCTATAGACTGCCTCCATAACCTCCTATAGACTGTCTTCATAGCCTCCTATAGACTGTCTTCATAACCTCCTATAGACTGCCTACATTCCCTCCTAGAGACTGCCTCCTACAGACGGCCTCCATACTCTCCTATAGACCAACCTCCTTACCCTCTTTAAAGACTGTCTCCATACCCACTTTATAGACTGCCTCCATACCCTCCTACAGACTGCCTCCTACAGACGGCCTCCATACTCTCCTATAGACTACCTCCATACCCTCTTTATAGACTGCCTCCATATCCTCCTATAGACGGCCTCCATAGCCTCCTATAGACTGTCACCATATAATCCTATAAGCTCCATACTACCCCAGCTGCTTCCAGCACGGATTGCTGAAGGAGTGGGTATTACTGTGTAAATGATGCACTGACTGAGACCTTGCTCATGGTATTGTCTAGGTATCTGCCAGGAAATGCCCTCCAGTTATTAGTAATTACTATTTTATTCCCCTGATTTGAAAATGTAAATTATAGAATGCATTTGTATTTTTATATAAAATGTTGAAATTCTTGCTATTTACTATTTATCCTCCAATAAAACAACTCCTTGCCCTCTTACATTTTATATTTAAATACAATTTAAATATGGAGATTACTTCTTACATAAAGTGACCTTTTAATCGCAACTTATTAGTTACATTAGTAACTCACTATATTCTTCAGCAATGACAATTTCTAAACTGAGCAAAGCACATACACCTTTAAAAGTTCCAGCATAGCAACATATTCTGTCACAGTGTACAAAAGGAACACACTCCTGGTCAATGATAGAGTTGAGAAATTCGTGAGCACTTACAGTCCAAACAAGTCATCGGCATCCTATGATTTAACACAAGAAACAAATTATTTTGATTATTTATTTTCGACAAACCTCCCGTCCTCGGAAAATGCTAATTTTTACTTAAATGTGTAAATCTTGGAGCCATTAACAAAAGCCACTTAATTCAATTTCTCCCCAAAGCCGTAGCTGTAAAAACTGATGTTGCACACACATTATGTGCTGGCGGTGTCACAAGGACTATAGCTAATGGGGTAATGTGAAATGATGTCTGTCCCTATTGACAGGTTTATGAGAATTTAATAAAGCATAGCCAGGATAAAATGAGATATTACATCCTCACACAAAGTGATCAAACTCCCTTACATCAGCAATTTCTGCCTGCAACGATGTCAGTTGCACACAAACTGACTTTCGACAGTCAGACTCTAGGGAGGGGATGGAAAAAGTGCTTGATCAGATATCTTTTTATAAAAGTGCCACTAATAATTCTCCATTCAAATATAATATTCTATAATCTTTTAGAGTGTAAGCTTGCTGACAATGATCTCAGACCATGCAATGCCTATCTGTCTTTGCATCTAATTTATTATTATCATCATTTATATAGCACCAACAATGTTATCATCTATTTATCAATCTGTGTGTCCAGCTATCAGTCTGCCTAATAAACTCTGTCTGTCTATCTGTCTTATAAACACAGCCTGTCTATCCATCTGTCTTAAACACATCGCCTGTCTGTCTGTCTGTCTGTGGATTTATACAGAACATACACAGAGAATGACTTGGGGCTAGCAAGCACCAAGAATCAGTCAAACTACGCCATTTAATCAATGTATCCAGTACTGCAGAATTATGTTTGCACTATACAAGGTAATAATAAAAATAATGACATTATAAAGTCTGACAGTTACAACACACGGTAAAAGTGTTCATATAAAACACTGGCTTATAATAAAATATGTTCAATATAATAAAAAAAATATATATATACTGTATTAGTCTAACTGATTGCCTTTATAGAAATAGTTTCACTTAGAAATATAAAGAACAAATATCAGGTAATTCAAAAGTAATGATCCACAAAACAATATAAACAGAGAACAAAAAAAGGACCACGGCGCTTAAAATTCTAATAATCTGGTGCAGCCAAAAGTTACCCAAGTGTAGTGTCACCTATTACACTTAAAACGTGATAATATAGAGAAAAGGGTGAAGGTACTTAGCGCTCACAGAAAAGAAAAGAAAAAAACTTTACCTTTGTACTTATAGAGATGAATAAGGCTTCTAATAGCCTGATAACCTACAAATGGATACATATAACAAACACTGCCCTCCCAAAGCATAACCGCCATATCCCCATGTCCATATTGCAGTTTCTTTTCCTGTCCATACAATTTCTTTTTCGGGTCTTAAGTTTCGATACGTCACATCCTGTGACGTATGAGTCCGGATCACATGGGCAGGCTGACGGAACGCCAGTGCGTCATATCCTATGACGCATCAATCTGAATTGCGTGGGAAAAACGGGGCGGGACGTCATCTTATGTAGCGGTGTATAAAACAGAACGTCCGTCCACGTGATCTTCTGTTTTATACACCGCTACATAAGATGACGTCCCGCCCCGTTTTTCCCACGCAATTCAGATTGATGCGTCATAGGATATGACGCACTGGCGTTCCATCAGCCTGCCCATGTGATCCGGACTCATACGTCACAGGATGTGACGTATCGAAACTTAAGATCGGAAAAAGAAATTGTATGGACAGGAAAAGAAACCGCAATATGGACATGGGGATATGGCGGTTATGCTTTGGGAGGGCAGTGGGGCATGGTCTATAGCCGGAAGTGCAGCCATCTTTTTGGTGGATCTGACACTTCCGGCTATGACCATATATGGAGTGGGGGGTGTGTATACACATATGTATTTACTTACTCTAACTGGCAGCCTGTTATCAATGGTATATAAGTAGATTTAAGTCCAGTGTGTATTTGGATGCACTTGAGAAAGACCTACATTGGTTGAAACGCGTTGTGCTATTACTTATGTATTTTATATACTTTTATTTGGTGAAATAAATTTAATAATTTTCTTAAATATCTCTGTTGGAGTTTTGCTACTATATTACCAGTTAGAAGCTCCTGAGGATCTTTTTGCTACATCATTAGCTCCAAGTTCCTGAGGATTACTTTTGTGTCTCAAAAGAGACGATATGCTCGATAAAGTTTAGAGCCAACTTTTAAAAAAAAAGGCTCTGGAAATTGTGAGTTGAATGTATATATCTCCTTTTTCTACTATTTTTGTATATACAGATTACACTATGTTTGTTATATGTATCCATTTGTAGGTTATCAGGCTATTAGAAGCCTTATTCATCTCTATAAGTACAAAGGTAAAGTTTTTTTCTTTTCTTTTCTGTGAGCGCTAAGTACCTTCACCCTTTTCTCTATAATATCCACAAAACAATGCCTACCAACATCACCTAACACCAGACAACACAAAAAAACAAAACTCGCCCTAAATCCCAATGTATTTTTAAAGGACCACTATAGGCACCCAGACCACTTCAGCTCAATGAAGTGGTCTGGGTGCCAGGTCCATCTAGGGTTAACCCTTTCTGCTGTAAACATAGCAGTTTCAGAGAAACTGCTATGTTTACATATGGGTTAATCCAGCCTCTAGCGGCTTGCTCATTGACAGCCGCTAGAGGCGCTTCCGCGCTTCTCACTGTGATTTTCACAGTGAGAAGACGCCAGCGTCCATAGGAAAGCGCATTCAACCGATGACATCAGAAGAGGGAGGAGAGTCCCAGCGCCGAGTGGGGGCACCCTCAGGGCACTAAAGTGCCAGGAAAACGAGTTTGTTTTCCTGGCACTATAGTGGTCCTTTAAATAACAGGATTTTTAGAATCATTGCAGTGACCGTTAAAGTGTAAGCTCACTTGGAAACTCTATGTAAATATCTTAAAATAATATAAAATTATTTGTTTTGTTGTAATGTTTGCCATAATTATTCAGGAACATTATGTTGTATAAAGAAAATCGTAGTTCTACGTTTTAGACCTTAGTATGATCCCATTAGATTGTAAGCTCATTTGGCAGAATCCTCTTCACCTACTGTTCTCATATGTCATACATGTTTTGCTCGAATTACGTTCGTCTTGTTTCCTATCGTACAAAGCTGTAGTAGATGTTGGCGCTGAATAAATAATTGTAATGGTAAAATGTATTGCCATTGTAATGATGCTTTTACAAATGATTGACTTGTGTAATTCTGTTTATGAGAAGCAGTAAAGGGAGAGGTTCAGATATGCCAGAGTCGCACATGGTGTGTGACAAAAATTCTTATTGCGGAATATAACACTTGTTTCATAAACTGAGAAATTATCCATTTTAAGGAGAGAAGCGCCCTCTAGAGGGAGATTTGTATAAGGAACTCTGCAAACTGCTTTTTATTTTAGAGACACTACAAGTTGTATTTGAGCTATTATTTCTCGATGCATTATAAATATTACATTAAAAACAATAAATTATTTTAAAAAAAATAAACAAAAAAAAAACCTGAATGTTCCTTCATTTGCTATAAAGTCTGATGCTGTGCACTGAGCTCTCCCCTAACCAGGAAGTGGTTTCCTCTTATCATGTTCTGTAGCAAAGCAGACTTTTTTTCCTTTAATCAGGCATTTATGTTACAATGAGGGTTCTTCATTGAAAATTGAAGACCAATTGTCAGCTCTCTACTGAACTACAAATATGTGCAATTTGTTTTGCATGTTTTCTATGGAGGTTTATAAAATCTTGACTTGCGATGGCTACAGATCTAGAATCTGCAACTACAGCAAGCACTTTTTGTTTTTGTTCCCAACACAGAATTTCTGTATCTGTCCCATCACTGACTGAGCTTTATCTCAGCTCTTTGGGAAGTCCTTGCAAGACAGGTGGTACTGCTACTGAGTTCCTGAATTTAACTACCAGGAAGTTACAGGACAAGTTCTATGATTGACAGCTAGGGGGGAGGGGGGTGTAATAAGGATCATTTATAAAAGTTCTGATTTCTATTGAAATCTGCACTTTTTGTAGCATGGAAAAAAAAAGACAACACGCTCATTCCACATAGAGCACTTCTGAAACCTACCTCCTCCTTCAGAGATTAAGGTAATAAACCCTCAGAGGTTAGCTCCATCAAAATAAAAAAAAAGTGTAAATAGATTTGCTCAGGGCTTAAATATAAATATATATAGGCCCACATGCACACACATTTAGTTACATGGTATTATTTTTGTAATACATGAAGAAAGGGGGAACTTTTAAATGTATTTTTAGATTAGGTGACTGGAAAAAACAAATCTCCGCCTCAGTTATAGTCCCAACTTTCTTATTCTAGCCTGACTTTTTCCATTCCAATAACCATTATGTACTGGTTATCCAATAACAATGTATCTTTCACGTAGAGTTTATTGACTAAACTGAAAATGCACCAGAGAACTGTACATTTTATTCCAAGACCTGTTGGAAGGAAAGTTGAATTGGAGAATAGATTTGGTTCGGCTGAACCACTTTATTCAAAAATTACATTTCGTTCTGGACCTGCGACACTCGTTCATTTGATGGCTCAGCTCGTCCTTTTAGGAAAATAGGCCAATTAGTGTTCTGCACAATAAATACATAACATACACATAGAGAAAAAGTAACCAGTAGAGTGGAGAGAGCATTTATTTATTAAATGTATGCAACCACCACATCCACACCCCAACCAACTAACCACCCCGGACCTCCTCCCACAATCTCTCTCTGACGATGGAAACACGTGACCGAAAACAACAGAACGAAAGTACCCTCCATAACAGGAACGGGTACGACAAACTCACTAACTTCTCTTCAGTCTGAATATAAACTGTAAGAATTCATACGCTGGAACTATGCAGCCTTATGAAGGCTTTTGCACAAGCCAAGTTATTACTTACTTTTACTCCCATAGTAGCTCTACCAAATGTGAGTGTAAAATACCTCCGTTCTACTTATCACTTTTTTCTAATATTGTTAAACATATCACACTATTGTATAAATTTTTTCTATTTTCTTTTTGAGGATAAATTATCTGCAACCACTAAGAGACATCAAGTGTATGTATATATAACTCATATAAGGCGCGGTTTCCTCCTTTTTTCTCTTCTATACTGTCTCTTATCAAGGCTGGGAATCCTTGTATTGGTTACTGCTGCCTATTTAACTGTTTATCTTTGGAGTGAGCACCCGACACATCTCTTCTTTTCCACTTACTTTTACGCTTTCTGTCATTACAAAATAAAGAATAAAAAAAAAAAAGTAGATTTTTATGTTTTCATGTATCCTTCTTACTTCCCACTACTGGTCACTTCTTGATCTGTAAATAAGATCAACATTTAGTGATTTAGACTCCAATCAACTTTTTTTTGTCCCCATCAATCATCTCTTTTTTTGGTGGAACTCTGAATCACGAATCAAACGACCGTACTCATCCATTTCTCCAGTCGTTTGTTCAGTTTATGCCCGTGTGGTGCTTCTGAGTTATAGGATTTGGATGATCCACCAATCGGCCTAAATTCAGGCAAACTGCAATTCGGCAAAAGCGAAAGCACAATTCTTTTAGAAAGTGCAGTTCAGCTATTTTGGATATTGTTTTCAGGGCCCTGGTTAATTCCCAGTTTAATGAAAAATTCTGATTATTACTGTTTTCCAGTTAGACTGTGATTTGTGAAGAATTGGTCCGAAAAATTTACATTTGGGGCAAAAAATAGTCAACTTCCAAAATAAAAAAAAATTTACAAATAGCTGAGTTTGTGAACTTTTTCAGTTCAACTATTTTTACCTAAAATTTGAAATTGCCTTATGAGCTGCCTACAATTCTCAGTTTCGTGATTTAACACCAAGAGTAAATTTCTTCGTTGGCCAGTGGTGTTGTGGGGCAATAAAATATAAAACAATACAATGCTCATCCCAATAAATAGTCAACTGTATTTAAAGGCTTGTTGAAATAAACATGATATATTATTTAACACGAAAACTGGCCATGATAAAATGATTACATTTCTTTTTGTTTGCAAAGTACAGACACCATTAGACAGATATATCTGCATGCCTCTGGCAATGGGTAACGGTGACAAAGTATCCTGTTACGCTTCCTTTACAATGTTCATTATTAAACACAAGGCTTTCGTTCATCTGAAAATGCCTTATGTGTAACATCAATTGGTCAATAAGGTCTCTGATTACTAATTTTGGTTAGCATTAGTCTAGGGGTTACATATGAGGATTGAAGGGGAGCAAAGAGCTTGAGGCTAAATTGAAAGCTCCATAATGTAAGTGTAATATAGAATGTGTCAGATCTGAGCAGAGCTAACTCATTACTAAGAGTTCACAAATTAAAAATGCAGATACTTATTAAGAGCTTTACCACCATAAGGAAAGGAGTTTATATCACGTTCTTGACGTATGTCCTTATTAGATTGTGTTTTCCAGCAGGCCGAGTGTTTATCAACAAAAGAGAACTCGAGTATTTTAAATCTTCAGTGATAGATTTTTTGCAGGATGAGCTGCAAATAATGTCCAATATTGCGAGGGTCAGCTTGGGAGCACAAATAATCTTA